CTTAACTAACGGACTAACGGTAAATTGACGGAAACGACCAAAAGTGTTAAATTATTGAAATATGAGAGACCAAATATGAAATCGGTGCAAACTTGAGGGATGAAAACTGTAATTTTCCATATATATATAAGTATATATATATAATGATCCTTTGTGTAGTGAGTGGGGTTGGTGAAGTGAGAACACTTTTTTCATATTGAATCATCATTGATAATGATCAAGACATACTCTCCACTTTCTTTTTATAACATTTAGTCATCTCCCTTTAAAAGGCAAACCCTAAAAAAATCTTCATATATATGTAACACTTCTCTTTCTCTTTATTTTCTACCCCTAACCCCCCACCCCCACCCCCCAAAAAAAAGGAGGAAAAAAAAAAAAACAAGAATGAATAATTTTCTTACAAACAACATAATACTAATCCTAGTACTAATGTTGGTATGTTATTCAGGAGAATGTGATAATGCAAAGGAAAAGGCAGAGTGTACAGAGTCACTAGTTGGACTAGCAACATGTTTGCCTTATGTTGGAGGAACTGCTAAATCCCCTACCCCAGATTGCTGTGCTGGCCTCAAACAGCTTTTGAAAACAAACAAAAAATGCCTTTGTGTTATTATTAAAGATCGGAACGATCCCGATTTAGGCCTCGATATTAACGTCACTCTTGCTTTAGGCCTTCCTACTGCTTGCAACGCTCCCGCCAATATTTCTGAGTGCCCCGGTAAGTCGTTTTAGACGTGTAATTGATTTTTAATTTAATTTTAGTATAAACTATACGAGTTTATTGCACTTAGTACTCTGTTTTAGTTAAACTAAGCTGGTGTTTGCAAAAGCTTTTACAAATGAGCTTTTTCTTGCTCATAATCTATTTTTTAGTGTTTGCAAAACGAACTTTTGTTTCTCTTAAAATAAGCAATTTTAAGCTATATTTTGTTAAGCATCCTTGACCTGTTTTTTCTATTTATAAGTTTATTTTTCAGTATATTTGCATACACTCTTAACTTTTAGAAATAAGCACTTAAAACTAACTTAACTCACAATTCATAATATCTGCTTTTAAATAAGTTTTTTTTAACCCCACCTAAATTGCTAAAAGAAATTGTGTTGTGTGCATTTTTTAGAGGGTAATTTGCTAAT